CATCTCATCCTTTGCCGTCCCCGTCTTCTTTGACCTTCAATCATTCCCAGCATCAGGGTCTTCTCCAGGGAGTGCTCCCTTCTCATTTGGTGGCCAAAGTATTTGAGCTTCAGTTTCATTATCTGGCCTTCCAGGGAACAGTCAGGGTTGATTTCTTTGAGGATTGACTGATTTGTTCTTCTTGCAGTCCAAGGGACTCTCAAGAGTCTCCTCCAGCACCATAGTTCAAAAGAATCTATTCTTCGGCGCTCGGCCTTCCTTATAGTCCAACTCTCACAGCCATACATGACTACTGGGAATACCATTGCTTTGACCATGCGGACTTTTGTTGGCAGGGTGATGTCTCTACTTTTTATCATGCTGTTTAGGTTCGCCATCGCTTTCCTCCCAAGGAGCAGGCGTCTTTTAATTTCATGGCTGCAGTCACAGTCTGCGGTGATCTGGGATCCCAGGAACGTGAAGTCTGTCACTACTTCCACAGCTTCCCCTTCTATTTGCCAAGGAGTGATGGGACCGGATGCCATGATCTTAGTTTTTTTGATGTTGAGCTTCAAGCCCACTTTTGCGCTCTCCTCTTTTACTCTGAGCAAGAGGCTCTTTAGATCCTCTTCACTTTCAGCCATTAGAGTGGTATCATCTGCATATCTGAGGTTGTTGATCTTTTCCCCAGCAATCTTAATTCCCGCTTGTGATTCATCCAGGCCAGCATTTCGCATGATGTACTCTGCATATATATTAAATAAGCAAGGTGACAATATACATCCTTGTTGTACTCCGTTTCCTATGCTAAACCAATCATCGCAGTAGTCCAGTGTAGATGTCAAAATCATCCTGGCAATGTAGGACAAAAACAGCACGAATGTGGGATAACATAGATATGTGGGATAAGATGGATGGCCATGACAATCCAATGGCTAATATTATTTCACGGGTCCTTTGCACTTACAGTGCAACCCTAAAAGGATTTACACCTTTCGAAGACCACAGATGCTCAACTCTCTTTAGGTTTGCACTGTTATCATAGTATAGGATCAAGATGGGTTAGTTTGTCTGTAGCAGTAGGAAAGAGGAAGAGTTCTGTATCACCCTAAAGACTTAAGAAAATTTGTGGCAGGGTATGAGCTTTCGTGAGTCACGGCTCACGTCTTCAGATACATAGTATAAGTTACTGTTCCAACCCATTAGGGGCCTAATGAATAACAATTCAAGCCATTATCAGCAGTAATTGAAAAATCTACTCATCTACAGAGTTCAGAGAGTTGATAGCAAAACACTTTAAGAAACTACAGTGATGTGTCATGCTCCGTACACCATTTTAATGGAACGTAACTGTCTCAGCAAACTTTCTCCCCCACTTTCCAGACAGCCACTGCAAATCTGGCGACTCGGGCTGTCACAAACATACCACGGTTAGACTGTAAAAATATAACTTCAGACTGATTAACAGTGTTGGAAAAGACTGGATGCAGAACACTGCTGTGAGCCTCAGTTCTGTGGATCAGCCTCTCCTACATGACAAAGGGAACCATGAGGGGGTCTTAAGGAGTCGCAGAGCTCTCCTTAATGGGCCTTAAGTGGTAGGAAATGGAGATGGTCCTGCCTAAGGGCACGAGGGAACAGCAATCTGTGTGAAAAAGACGTTAACACTAGTTCAATCATGACCAAAGTATTAATACAAATACAACCATAGAAGCACAATATTAAAGTATAAACATTTCCTCTTGAGGTGAAGATGCGTGAAGAATAATATAAACGAAGAATCCGGATATTAAGAACTCCGTTTTGAAGAACTTCCTCAGTAACTGATAAACAATATAGCTTCAAATAGGTTACAT